TTATTTGGCACAGGGTCTCACTATGCAGCTCAGATTCGTAGCGATCCTCCTATCTCAGCCTCACCAGCCCTGGGGTTACAGGTGTGCGCCACCATGCCCGGTTTCAGTGGCTGACTTGGCACAGGGCTGGCACGGCATGTGGTACTAGGATTTGAACCCTAGTCCTTCCGCTTGCCAGGCAGGCATTTATACTGCTGAGCTATCTGTTTGGCCCTAAAAAGTTTCTTTTTTTTTTTTTTTTTTTAAGGAAACTCAAAAGGGAATGGGTATAGGCTTGGCATAGCAGTACATGCTTGTAATTCTTGCATTTGGGAGGCTGAGGAAGGACCATCAGCATTGAGTTTGAGGCCAACCAGTGCTACATAGTGAGTTTAAGGCCAGCCTGAACTATGTAAGTGAGAACCTGTAGCAACACCACCCAAAAGTATATAGATATAGCCTCATCATGTTGTTAAGTTTGTTGAACATTTAATTTGTGCAAGGCACTCAGTATACTAGGTGCTGAATACTTAATGAAAAGGAAGTAGGATGAGTACCAGTTATCCCAGAATTTAGTTTAATGGGTGAAGCTTGATTCCTTGTTCTTTTTTAATGTATTTAGTATAGGGTCTGCAGAGTCTCATTATGTAGATTGAACTTGTAGTGATCTTCCTGTTTACAGCCTCCCAAGCCCTGGGATTACAGGCACGTGACACCATGCCTAGTCTCAGTTGCCATCTTACTGCACCCTGGGGGTGGGGCTTGCACAGCAGGCCCAGGGATCAAACCCCAGGCCCCTGCTTCTGTCTAAGCAGGTGCTTTAATCCACTGAGCTGTTTGGCCAGCCCTTCCTTGTTCTTTAATCAGGGACTTTTGTGGCAAATAAAATGAAGAGTTAGGGCAGTGTAAAAGTGTGTATTTAGAGTCAACTGTGATGGCACACAGCTATGATCCCAGCACTCTTGAAGGCTGAGGGTTAACAAATTAGTGAGAACCTAGTTTTTTGGTACTAGGGATTGAACTCAGGACCTTGTGCTTGCTAAGCAGGCACTTGTGCCACTGAGCTGTCTCCCTGGCCAAATGAGAGCCCATCTAAATAAATAAATGGATGGATGAATGAATGTGTAGCTCCCTGCAAAAACAAAAAAGGCTCTGGGTTCATCCTCAGTACTACTCCAACCCAGCCCCACCTCCCCAAAAAATGTACATATTAAAGAGTGACGTTGTTCTTTAATGGGGGCAGGATTGTTTTATGGAAGGCTGCCCTGATGAAGTATATTTGTGCCAAGATAGAAAAGGTAAAAAAGAAGTTAGTTAGAAGACTGAGGTGAAATTGTGGGAGTTTTAGCAAAGATTGCTGGTACAATTATCTGTTATGTTCTGATGATGATTCATTTTTTGAGATGATGAGCTGCCCTAGTTTTTCTGTGTGTATATCAAACACTTAGTAAATATCTTGTAGAGGGCAACACAAATCAAAGTTAAGCCATTTGTCTTCACACTTCTTATTTATGTAATGCCAGTGTGTTTTCACCTTATGGTCAGATCTTTTCAATTCAGTAGTTACAAGTGCTATACATATATAGCCTTAACCATTTTAAGTACTTTGTAAGTGTAGTATTGAATATCAGGAAGTACTTTCACATTGTTGTACAGTCTTCACC